GCCCGGAGAATTGCCCTTAGTGGGCATCTGCAACTTGAGTCCTTCTACAAAATTGGTTGGGAACTCTAAATTTTCATTTACTTGTCCTAAAATCAGTTGCCCAGATTTTCAACATAATGGGATGAGGAGAAGCTGAAGCTATGCAAGAGGGGTTCTAACTGGAGTATTAGTCGGATGCCTTCTTCCCTCTCAGAGGTTCCCAACACAAACTAACACCAAGTGCTTTCCAAGTCCTGTGGCAAAGAGAAATTATTGACTCAGTTTAACCAAATGCTTCCCAAGTATTTGGCCACAGAACAATCCTACTTCCATGCAGTATTTATCCACAACCATTAGAAAATACAATTATGAAAATGGTATTGAGAAGGTCTCTTATGAAGTTGCCTGGACCATATAGAGAATGAATCAAAGATATGCATTCCAGGCATACTGTTTTCTACTACACTGATCTTCCATGAGCATATCAGGTCAGGGACAAAAGCTTGGATGCCAGGCCTAACCTACGTTGCTCAATTATGGGAAAGGTGGATTACACTTTGCCTGAGCAATGACCGTGGTCTTCTGTTAGTGACTGATAGCCCGGCCTGCTGACTGAGTATCCCTGAGACAATGGTCAATGACCTCACAACAAAAGCAAGTTGCCTGTTCAGCACTTTCTGTCCAGAAGCACAGGATAGGAGGCTGATTTGTTTTTCACATGTGAACACAGTCGCTGTGAGCCACTACGTCTTACCTGAAGGTATTCTCAGTGTGTTTAAGCTTGTGGGTCATGAATTCTCCATTCTGCGACTTCACTTCTGTAAACCCCTTCTTTCCATCCAGGAAGCTCTTCACTTCTTCTCTGGGCTCTTTGTCCTTTTTGATCTTCTCATCTTTGATCTAACCAACGGTACACATCAGGAAGAAACACAACAATAAAAACCGTATTAGGTTTTGGTTGGTATCACCAAATGAGACCCCAGATTGCTAGGAAGCCAGAAACCTCAGAAGTAAAAAAAACCACCCTCGAACGATGTGGTAGAGATGGGGTCAGAGGAAATTCTTGGAGCATGAGCGAGAGCGACGGTTCTCCAGCCTCTGAGCAAAGACCTTGACCACAGTTTTAGGAAGTCAAGATCATTCCTGATTTCACTGGGGGCTTTATTTTAGAAAGCATTGGAGGTGTTACCCTTGAAAAGCATTGGAGGTATTACATTCTTGGAACTCCATCGACATGAGTGGTTTGCAGTTCCCAGTGAAAGAACGATGATTGGGGTGGCTTTGATGGGAAAATGCCCAGGTTGCTTGGACAGGTTTCTTCTGGGGTGAAGAACACAAATGAGTTGAGGAGGAAAGAAGAGGAAACCTGACAGGTTAAGCAGATCTGCCGAGCCGGTTTTAGCTGCTATCAGAGGAGGATGACCCTAGTATCCTAATACAAAAAGTAACTAAGGCCCCTGGCTGGTTTGGTTCAGTGGACAGAGCATCGGCCTGTGGACTGAAGGATCCTGGTTCGATTCCAGTCAAGGGCACATGCCTGGGTTGCGGGCTCGTACCCCAATAGGGGGCATGCAGGAGGTGGCCGATGAATGATTCTCTTTCATCATTGATGTTTGTATCTCTCTCTCCCTCTCTGAAATCAATAAAAATATATTTTTAAAAAAGTAACTAGGATCTTCAGGACAGAGGACACAAGGGGATGACTCAGAGGTCTGTAGGACCATGTTTGTAGTCTCTCAAGCACTAAGTTAGAGTGGGATGGGAGACACTCCAGGGTTTACCTTGACTTCCAGTGCGGGCAGTAATTTAGTCTCCAGGAGTGGTTTTGTGATTCTTGTGGGTCACAAAAGGTCATACATGAAGAACAGGTATTAACTGTAATATTTTCTGGGTTTCACATTACAAGTGCCTCATGGTAAATAAGAGATTATTTCAAAGTAAACTGAATTTACATAGCTTTTTTGGGGGGTAAAGGAGTACAGATTACTTTACCTATATCATCTCACCCATTCCTAAAAGATGAGTGTGAAAACGGGGGAGGTTCCACATTGCTCTTTCCAAGAAAACAGAGAAAGCACTAATGTTCTCAAGGAGCCTATGGAGCAAGGGTGGGGCATAAGAGCTTAGGATTTTAGGTGCTGCCTAGATGGTCTCCCCTTCCCTGAGAACTCACTCCTGTCCAGTTGTTCTTCAGATACCCTCTGAACAGTTATTATTAATGTGCACGTTTTACTAAGTAGAGCACTTTATTTATTTTTTTAAATATAGTTTTTATTGATTTTTTACAGAGAGGAAGGGAGAGAGATAGAGTTAGAAACATCAATGAGAGGGAAACATTGATTAGCTGCCTCTTGCACACCCCCTACTGGGGATGTGCCCGCAACCAAGGTACATGCCCTTGACCGGAATCGAACCTGCAACCCTTCAATCCACAGGCTGACGCTCTATCCACTGAGCCAAACCGGTTAGGGCTAAGTAAAGCACTTTAAAAAAATCTTCACTGATGAGCCTTCAATAGTCCTTTCCCTGACTTCCTTCGTTGGGTATTATTTGATTAAATTACTATGGATGGACTATTCTGCAGTAATTCAATGGGCAATTATCATGTTGCCCTAATTATTTAAAACTTTAACCTTTCTCCAAGGGGTATGATATGATATCCCTTGGACATGCTCAAGAAGGGCGCTATTGTTTTGCCATGCTCTCCGAGAGTTTTGTCTGGAAGTCAGGAAACCTGAATTTTGGTTCCAGTGCTATTGACAAACAAGCTGTGTTGCTTTGATTACGTCACCTAACTTCTCTGAGATGTTGACTCCACATACATAAAAAGTGGAGGTTAGGGTAGATGATCCCTCCCTAATCCTTCATCCTTTCATTTCCCTCCTATCCTCTCATTTGTCATGAGGGGCTACAGAGAGAAGGAAGCTCCTGGCTTGTTCTACAGCTTGGTGGCTGTCCTGGCCCAACCATAGATCAGTACCCACGGACAGGCAGGAGCTGGCAACAATGGTACAACAACGGCTGTACCATTGTTGGCTACAGCCCCAGAAACCATGGACTGGATTATATATCTTGGTTAAGAAGTATCTGGGGATATAAATTTGGGGATGAGAGGGGTCCCATTTTAGAAAACTCATGAAACAAATTCGGAGTCAAATCTCATGGTTTGTGAAATAGATGAAATACCCTTTAACTAACTTTTCCTATTTTGGAGTCAGAGACATTTCCATTCTTCCCAAATGCATTATCTAATTTACTGACCAAACAGGTATGTAAAGTAGATTTGTAAAACATACATGTTTCCTTCAAGCTCTGCCTTTATTGGCAAAGGCTACGGTGGATGTTATGTTTATGTTCTCTTTGGAAGACTTCCTTAGGAAAATTCCCAGTGAAAGCATGATAACTTGAGTTTGCAAATTATTTTATCTTTTTGGGAAATGAATAAGTAAAGCAATTCCACAACGCATTTACATATTACTTTAAGGAGCACAGTGGATTGGATTGGATAGCAGATTTAACCCAAGCTCATGGGATTCTGAGTCATTTGGGAAAAGCATTAGATCTAGGTCAGAATGTTACCATTCAGGGAATCTGTGCTGATGGATTAATGGGTAGCCAAGTATTCTGAAAAAGTTAATGTGCTTCATGGGCAGATAACATTAGCAAATGAAAGGCTGGCCAAATATGATCATTTGACTAAAACTGGGTATTTAGGATATCCAATGGGATAACAGATGGGTGTGTGTGGGGCGGGAATTCCAGCGACATGACCCTGTGCCAGAGACATTCAAAGTGTCAAGTGAGCAGGTCATAAAGGACTGCTATGTCAGTCTTTGTAGTTTATTATTTTGCATTATTTGATTCCAGAATAGTGACAAGAATGGTTGCAAGTTACCGTTCTTTTCAGATTAGGTTTTAATGCACGTTTGTTAGACTCAGAAGCCTCAGTTCCTTCTTTGGGTCCAATATGTAACTCATAAATGTCCTTGCTACTGAAAGTCCGGTCCACGGACAACACAGACCTCACCAGAAGCTCAGACTCTACCCAGAGCCAGTGAGTCAGGTTCTGCGTTCCCTGGGATCTCCTGGTGACTCGCATGCACACCAGTGTTGGGGAGATTTGGACTGGATGCATGAATGCCAGTTTCAACACTGTAGGAACAGCTCCCCGGGAAGCTGTTTTTCTGTTAGAGGTGGACGAAGGCTGTATGTGTGGGGAGGTTGGGGGATGGGGGAGGGAGAGAGCTTTAGGGTGAAGAACTAAAAAGAACTTTAATCAATAAAGACAAGAAAAGAACAATAATAACAACAATAAAAGAACTAAAATGAGACATTTTATGATTGGCGAGGAGAACAAAAAAGCTACATTAAATTTCAAGGTTGGTGGCCATCTGCCACCCATTGCCACAAGCAATAAAATGTTTCTACACTTAAAAAAAAAAGAGCTAAATGGCAGTGGGAGGAAGAAGATGCTCTGTACGGTGTTGGAGCGACTTCTGGAGATGTTTTCTCTAAGAGGGCTTACATGATGTTTGTGTTTATCGTGGTTGACCGATCCTGCATTGCTCCTTGAAAGAAAAGTCTTCTTAATTTTTTTTTAACAAAAAGGAAATTAAAAAAAGGAGGAGGGTGTTTGAAATGGCTAAATCACGTAAAATAGGGTTTAAAGTCGTCTATCTACAGCAGCCACACAGCTAGCTGGAGAGGGGAAAACCTAGTCATTCAACTAGTAGTTTATGTACGCCACGTTAAAATAAAAATGGCAGCTTAACAAAAACAATTTTAATCCTGTGCAGAGGAGCTTATCTGGCCTCGTATAAAAAAGGGGCCATGGGTTTTGGGACAGTGGAATGTGCTGTAGAGCAAACTGGGAAAGAGGCAGCTCTGAAGGCATTGTACCGGGGACAGTGCTGAATGGGGAGAGCGGGGGGCTTATCCAAAAGAGGCAAAGGGAGGATCTGGATGGCGGGGTGAGCTCTTCCCAGCTCCCACACAGCACACAGACCAGAAGGCTCTGGTCACTGAAAGCCAATCAGAGCCTCATGAAACGAGTTACATTGAGAGTACAGAGTCCAAACGTGCTTTTCCAGCTCCCATCCCCAACATAAACTTAATCACTGAGCTATGGTTTCATGCCCTCTCCTTCCTGTAAAGATTTCCTCACCAAACGCTAGCTCTAGAGAAGAACCCTGTGGGACGTTGCTGCTTGAGTTTAGTGCCGAGGTAACTTGCATTTTTTGTAGTGTTCTTCTGTTACAAAATGAGAACACTGTTTTCCCACATGTTCAACCATTTCCTTAGCTGCCTCATTTGAGCCAAATTCGGTTTTCCAGTTATTAGCATTTACGCTTTCTCCTTCCTTTAAATGGACAGAGTTCACATTCAGTGTTCACTCCCACACCACCATGCATTCTTTTAGAAGCACGGAGGAACAGGCATCTTAAACAAAATAAATATAACAGAAACGAAGGGTTTTTACTTTTTACATGCATTTTAGAAAAAATGCGTATAAAAACAATCACCCCCTATTTAATCTGGTTATCTATTTTCCAATTATGGATATTTTTGCCTGTTTCTTTTTTTTTTAAATTTTTTAAATTTATTTTTTATTGATTTTTTACAGAGAGAAAGGGAGAGGGATAAAGAGTTAGAAACATTGATGAGAAACATCGATCAGCTGCCTCCTGCACACCCCACACTGGGGATGTGCCTGCAACCAAGGTACATGCCCTTGACAGGAATCGAACCTGGGACTCTTCAGTCCCCAGGCCAACACTCTATCCAGTAAGCCACAATGGGTAGAGAAATGTAGCAAGACCCCATTTGAGTTGGCGCCCAATAGCTTCAGGTCAGCTCAGCTGGTGTGGCTCAGTGGTTGAGCGTTGACCCAGGAACTAAGAGGTTGCCAGTTCAATTCCCGGTCAGGGCACATGCCCAGGTTTTGGGCTTGATCCCTGGAGAGGGCCATGCAGAAGACAGCCAGTCAATGATGTTCCTCTCTCATTGATGTTTCTATCTCTCTATCCCTCTCCCTTCCTCTCTCTCTAAAAAAAAAAAAATCAATAAAAACATATTTAAAAACAATAGCTACAGGTCAGTCCACGGGCAAAGTGCTTAAACTCTTCCATTTTTGATAATTTAGTTTTACCATGTTCACATACGTTGACCTGATTACATACTGTCACAACTTTTAGGATTCCTTGGGGCTAACATAAGCACAATGGATAAAGCAAAATCGGGCTTTCTGATGTGGCACTTCAAGGACATCAGGTCATGACCTTCTCTTTGCAGCAGCCTCTGGTCCGCTTATTGGTTACTTACCCACAGTCCAACACCCTGGCACCAGTGCCTGTGTGTGCCTCAGAAATGCAATGCAGAACATTTTGCCCAAGTTTTCTTTCGGAAACCAAATATCATCTTCCGTGCATCAAATTTTCTACTGAGATGTGGGGGTGTTTTTCCTTTGAGAAGTTAAATCATTAATCAAAGCCAGTTGGAAATATGTCCTGATGGGAATGAAAGCAGGATGGCTCAAGGGCGGGAGGATAGCACTTAGAAGAATAGAAAGCGGGGAAGATTGAGCAGAGAAGCGTTTTTCAAGCTTTTGACTATGACCCACAGTAAGAATGAAAATTTATGTCACTATGCAGTGCCTACCGCCTACAATGCTCTCTGATAGCTTCTATTTCCTTTTTTAAAATGCCGATGGACACATTGAACTACTTTTGAAATGCTCTAAGCGGATTTCGCCATTCAATGAATCGCTAAGTCATGGCTTGAAAAACATCAGAGGTCATCTGATCTGAAAGGCCATGGCACACTCTCTCTGCCGCTTTATCATTAATGAGGTCATTTCCCAATAATATTTACCTCTTCTTTTTTGAAGGCAGGCTTGTCTTCTTGGGACTTTTCTCTTTTAAGCTGCACTTTAGCCCCCTTTTCTTCTTCCTTTTCATTTTCAGGAATGGTAAGATCACTCATGTAAAAGCAGCCCTTTCTAGCTCTGACTCGGGTGAGAAGGTGCTCAGGTCACTCGGCACGTGGCGCAGGCTGACTGCTCTTTTGCCGGGTCAGTGCTCACGTTGCCCCCAGTGGTTACAAACAGCAGCCGGGTGTTTTCCTCCCGCCCCCGATGGTTTTCCCCTGTGCCCGCTCTTGTGCTCACTGATATCTAGCAGGACATGGTGCTCCCTGGGCGTGTTTACAAACCTTGTGTGCGGTTGGGGGCATTCGGTTCCTAATCCTCTCCTCATAACAAGCAGGAGTGAAAGACCACTTCAGTGCAAAGCATACTTAGTGACAGAGCGTCCTTCTGGGAGGTGAGCATGCGAGCAGGTGGCGGGTAAGCACAGTGCTTTGAATGCAGACTTGCAGACAGAAAAACAGATCTCTTGCGGCTCACACCCCTCCCCTCAATTTCCACCCTTCCCCAGGCTATGCCCGTTTATATGTCACTCAGATGGTAAAAGAAGCAACACCTATGCTTTTAATTACCCGTCAATTATAGACTGATGCCACCCCAGGTGACTGGCTTTCTGCAAGTTTACATTAAGCTCAGGTCTACATGATGCCAATCATGGTTTTGACATTTTTTAATAAAGATCCTCAAACTGACTTCTTTCCCTCCTTTATTACCAGTTGATTGCGAGGGTTTTATATTTGCCTTCTTAAGACGCTATTTCTGGTCATGATTCTCTTTTTGTCAGTTTCCCACCCCAACATGTGTAATTTTTTATAAATGCCAAACCCATGGGTAAGGTTGAGGAGTTAAGATGCCTTTGCCTCATGTAGACCTGTGGGTAGAAGTAAAGGTGTGAAAAGGAATGCGTTCAGATGCTGGCGCAGAACCACAAGTCAACACAGCCCCGCCACAGCGACTACCTTTGGGTTCATTCATTTTTCTGGTGTTCATAACAAGCAAGCCCTGAGCAACAGTAAATTTGGTTGACCGACTATTCGGCCAGTGATCGATTGCCTCATGCTGGCAGAGTGCTATGGCCTAAAAAACCGAACAGCTTGCCAAATGATCCAGCACGTGGCTTACAGGAATGCGGCCTCAGCCCCAAATTGGATGTGCATGACATTTCTCACACGTCGCAGGCATCACACACACACGGTGCGAAACGTGTACTGTACCTGTTTCTTCTGGACAGCTGTCTGACGTTTATCTTCTCGTCCTTTCTTTTCATTGACCCATTTCCCGTCTATTTTCTCTTCTACCTGTTCCCCTTTGATCTTTTTCTCTTCCGGCTGCTCTGCACGGTTTTGCTCTTCTCCCTTAGCCCTCTCGGCTTCCTCTGCCTCTGCTCTCCGCCTCTCCGCTGCTGCCCTTCTCGCCTCCTCCTCAGCCCTCTCCCTCTCCCTCTCCCTCTCCCTCTCCTCTGCCTCCCTCCGCTCTCTCTCTTGTGCAGCG